TAAGGGCGATTGCCGCGAGAGCGAGGAGAAACGCTACCTTCCCCACCATGACTTGAACGACACTAACTTACTTTCGCTCTCTCTCGCAGATGCCAGGGCCGCCCGGAAGAGAGGGGAGTTGCCACTTACCCCATTTCAGACACCTATTTATCCATTTCGTCAATGGAAATGTAGCACAAGGAAAGAAAGCGACGATGGTCGAGAAGAAAGAGGGACAATGATGAAAGAGATTTTGTTATTGTATTGTAGAAATTAAATGGCGATTTTTTGAAGATAAGGAGAACGCCAAGAGATAACGGGAGGAGGGGAGGGGGTGGGGTAAGGGGGGGGGGGCTTGCAGAGGGCAAAAGGAGGTAAAATTTGATATTTAAACTTTTTTTCTTTTTTTTTCTTGGGGCATTTTCTAATCATTCTTTTAATTATCTACCTGGACATTTAGATATGTACGATACGTACACGCACATACATACACAAAATATACACGTACAGATGCGTATATGTAAGTATTTATGCAATGGTGTGCATATATGTACGTTTGTATGAATATATGTATGTGTCTCTCTATAAGTCAACTTACGCATAAGTGTGTGTGTGTGTGTGTGTGTGTGTTGTGTGTGTGTGTGTGTCTGCGTGTGCGTGTGTGTATGTGTATACATGTGTGTATGTGCTTGACAAACAATACACACCAAGACTTACTCTTAAAATCCCTAGAATTTAATCCCTAATTAATCCTAAATCTTATTAATCCCATCCCATTTTGCCAATTATTTTTTTATTTTCATTTATAAAAAAAATGACTTTGACCTAACTTACCTTTTCGATCACTTCCGAAAAGAGTAGAAGAGAGAGAAAAAAAGGTATGCTAATGAATGACGTCATCAACTTGAGGTCAAAAGCAGATCACGTTTTCTTTGGCGAGATTTTAATGCCCTTGATAATTTCTTTTTAAATGGACGAATTGATGGAATAATGATTTTTGGGGATTATTTAATTAAAACGAAAGGGGGTGGGAAGGAGTGGGAGAAAGGGTATTTATATCTCTGTTTCTATGTCTCTCTCTCTCTATCTCGCTATGTGTCTATGTCTATGTTTCTGTCTCTCTCTCTTTCTCTCTATGAGTCTATGTCTGTCTCTGTTTATCTGTCTGTCTTTCTGTCTCTCTCTCTCTCCCCCCCCTCTCTCTCTCTTTCTCTCTATGTGTCTCTGTCTTTCTTTCTCTCTCTCTCTCTCTCTCTCTTCTCTCTCTCTTTCTCTCTCCCTCCCTCCCTCTCCCCCCCTCTCTCCCCTACGTGCATACATAGACAAACAGTAACAAATATAGCAGACAGACATAGACAGATACAAACAAAATCATACCGATAGTATACAGATATGGACACATATAGGAAGACATGCAAACAGACACATACAGACAGTAGAAATATACAAACAGACATATACAGACAACAGACAATTATACAAACAGACATTAGAAGAAAGATACAAACAGACACATACAGACAGTAGAAAATATACAACAGACACATACAACAGTAGTAGAAATTACAAACAGACACATACAACAGTAGTGAAGACAAACAGACACATACAAACACATACAGACAGTAGAAGAAAGATACAAACAGACACATACAGACAGTAGAAGAAAGATACAAACAGACATACAGACAGTAGAAGAAAAATACAAACAGACACATAGAGACAGTAGAAATATACAAACAGACACATACAGACAGTAGAAAATATACAAACAGACACAATACAGACAGTAGAAAGATACAAACAGACACATACAGACAGTAGAAATATACAAACAGACACATACATACAGTAGAAGACATACAAACAGACACATGCAGACAGTAGACGACAGATACAAACAGACACCCACAGACAGTAGAAGAAAGATACAAACAGACACATACAGACAGTAAACGACAGATACAAACAGACACATACAGACATATCAGGGGAGTACAGTATTAAGCCAAGTAGACTATATTACCTCGATTCAACCCAAGACAACGAGAAGACAATACCATTAGGAACAATAACAATAAAAAGTCTCATTAAAAAAAGACTCCATTTATTACATGCAACACACAGGGAAAAAATCGCATGTTTTTTTTTATTTATTTATTTAATCATTCATTATTATCATTTTATCTATTATCATTTTTTTCGTTATTCAAGTTATGAAAAAATTAAATTTTGGTGAATTCTATCCGCATGTATCTTTTTTTTTTATGCAATATTCAAGTTAAAAAAAACAACAACAACAACAACAACAACAAAAAAGAGAAATCTAGGTTAATTTTATAAGTAAGGATGGTATAGGTATTTGACACAAATTATTATTGTTATCATTATTATTATCGAAGCTGGTGATGAAAGCCGGATAGATTTTGAAACTGTTGTCTCATTTTCAATAAATGTATTTTGTTTTTTTTTTCCTGTTATTATCATTATTGTTTTAGTGTGACTTTTATCTTTGTTAGGTTTATTGTCATAATTATCATTATCATCAATCTCATCATTATAACTGATATCATTATCGTTACCTTTATTATGTTATTCTTCTAATTATCATACGGAAGTTTTTCTTACTCTGTTTTTATATAAATCAATATAGATTAACATCATTATTATGTATCACTACTATTATTATTCTGTAGATGTAGTTCAAGATAAATAAAGTTCACAAATACCAAAGGTCTAGAATTAAAAGTTCATCCCTAAGTAGATTTTCCAAGTCATCTATCTTTCTTTCTTTCTTATTTCCGTCTTTCGATCTTGACCTCTTCACGGACCTCTATGACGTCAGAGGAAATACCTGGTGACGTCATTGGTACGTCATAAGTTGAAGCTCACTGATAGGTTGTTTTGCTTCCTCGTTTTCTATATAGGATATGGTAAAGAAAACGAGAATTAGAGAGATTCTTGTTGGAAAGAAAGTAAAAAATGGATAAATTATAGTATTTTTGTATCTTATGCTATAAGTATATATTAAAGATATAATTGTAAAGTGAGTAATTATAGTAATTATTATGATACGGTAAGTACGTACGTAGAAAACCACAGAAATTTCAAAGATTCAAAACGTGAGTTCAGAGGCAGTTGAACTATGAATGGGAAGGTTAACCTCGAAATGTAGAGCAGTTGCATTTCTTGTTTGCTTCTCTCTCTCTCTCTGTCTGTGCCTCTCTCTCTCTCTCTCTCTGTCTCTGTCTCTCTCTGTCTGTTTCTGTCTCTCTCTGTCTGTCTCTGTCTCTGTCTCTCTCTTTCTCTCGCCCTTTATTTATCGTCTTACCCATCTATGACTCTATTTATTTACAAGAAAAACAATTCTTATTTTTCCACATGCTTTTCTCTTTCTCTCCCCGTCTGTCTTTCTTCTCCTCCTCTTCCTTCCTCTTCCTTCACCTTCATTCCCCATCTTCTCATCTTCTTCCTTCCCCCTTCCCTCTTCGTCTTCATCTTTCTTCTCTTCTTCCTCTTACCTCTCCCTCTTTACTCCTTCCCAACTTTCTCTTCTTCCTCTTCCTCCTCCCCTTTCCCTCTTCCTTCACTCTCTTCTTCCCTCTTACCTCTCCTCTTCCACCTCCTCCTCCTCCTTCCCCACTTCCTCTTCTTCCTCCTCCTCCTCCTCCTCTTACCTCTCCTCTTCTTCCTCCTTCCCTTCTTCCTCTTTTTCTCCTCCTCCTTCCCTTCTCCTTTTCCTCCTCCTCCTTCCCCTTCCCACTTCCTCTTCTACCCCCCACCCCCCCCTTTTTTTTAAACCAAGGCAACATCAATAATATCATAAGCCAAGCCAATTTTTCCCTCCTTTTATTTTCACTGTCACTCCGAACTCCGCAAATATCACAGGTTAAACCGAGGGAGCGGATTCCTTGGCAGCCATACCGTGTTGCAAAAACCTTTCCTTGCAATGGCTTCGGATATTGGGCAAGAGAGAGCATTTGCTTGTAGAGAAGGAGGTTGCCATGGTCAGTGCATATAGGAAATGGTTGATGAAGAGGAAGAAGGGAGGGGGGGGGGAAGACGTGTAAATGGGTAAGGGGTATTAATATACACAGGCGCGCATGTGCACACGTGGACACAGACGCTTGTGTATGTAAATAGATGGGGGTGCGTTATGCTGTGTGTGTTGTGTGTGTGTGTGTGTGTGTGTGTGTGTGTGTGTGTGTGTGTGTGTGTGTGTGTGTGTGTGTGTGTGTGTGTGTGTGTGTGTGTGTGTGTGTGTGTGTGTGTGTGTGTGTGTTTGTGTGCGTGCATATACGTGTAAAATTCACTATGGAAGACAAGTAATTCAGACAATACTGAATAAAATGAAGAAATGAAAGTTTAGTTACATCCAATTCAGTTTCCTTTATATGTAAATGAAGGTCTAGATATCAAAATGGGCGCAATGCATAGCAAGAAAATCTAAGAAAAAAAATAGACAACCAGTAAAAAAGGATCAGAAAAAAGTGAATAGGTCACCTTCACAACTCCTTCCTGGTGTAAAATATTTTGCATTTCCTTAGAAACGCATGTTTTGAATCTGCCTTTTTACAGAAATATTTACATACTTTTTATATTTCATTTCAAAATAGAAAAAAGACAGATGAGACCTCAAGAAGACAGATATAAACGTAATGAAAGAGTAAGTACTTTCACATTTTACACATCTTTTTTTAAGCTCGTTGTCGTTGGACGAGTTTTTCCCGCCTTTTTTCCCGCGCAAAATGTCCTTTTGAATCGGACTACTTCTAACGTTTTTTGGGGGATTTTTTCTTATGGAGGGAGGCCTTGGGACACGTAGACACGCCTGAAGAATCCCGATTAATCAAAGAGAAATCTATAATATGTAGAAGGATTCTTTTAAGTACATATATATTCTGTCTCTCTGCTCCTCTCTTCCTTATCTGTTTGTCTGCCTATCTATCTCTCTCTCTCTCTCTCTCTCTCTCTCTCTCTCTCTCTCCTCTCTCTCTCGTCTCTCTCTCTCTCTCTCTCTCTCATCTCTCTCTCTCTCTGTCTCTCTTCTCTCTGTCTCTCTCTAATCTCTCGTCTCTCTCTCC